AGGTCACTCTAAGCACGTGTGTCATAAGGAATGAGTCCCCTCATGTTGCTCTTGGAAGTTGGGCAGCCATCTCTCAGTCCCTGGAAAGCTCTACCTGAAGAATGTCCATGTCATCCTGGCATGGTAGCCCACATGTCTAATCTCAGCACTCAGGAGGCAGTGGTAGGTCGGTTTCTTTGAGTTCAAGGCCAGTCTGGTCTACAGAGCAAGTTGCAGGACAGCCAGGGCTACACAGAGGAAAGAAAGAAAAAAAAAGAATGTCCATGGTTTCTGGTCATACTAGAGGATGTGTAACAGTGTGATTTGTATGAATGTCACACAGTCTCAGTCCCATCTCCTCAGCAGCTGGAAGCTAATGCCAGCCATGGTGGTGTGTCAGACCATCCGGTGTAAGGCAGCCCTAGCAAAAAACTCAGACACCAAGACAACAGTGGGTCTCCCCGGTTGGCTAGCTAGTTCTGCAAAACCAAGACAACACTTAAGGGAGGAAGGACCACTTGGATCATGATTCCAGAGAGTCCAGTCACTTGGCCCCCTGGACTTGGACATCCTGACGATAGATAGCCATGTGTGATAGAGGCTGTTCACTTCATGGTGGACAGGAAGCAGACTTCAGAGAGGGATGAGAGACCACATATCTTATTACTTTAAAGTTATGCCCCCACTCCACCTGGAGCCAACTTCCTCCAATGTGGCTCCGTGTTTCTAGAACCATCCAAAGTTATGCCATCACTGGCTTGACAGCAAGAATGATCCTTGGGGGACATTTGATATTGGGACCATGACAGCTGGCAATATCTCATGTGTCTTGTCACACTCTGTTGCTGGGAGAAGTTAACAGTGTCCACAAATGACTACATCAGGAACGACCATTTGGAAGCGTTGTGCCTGGACCACCAGAGTTCCGTGGCTGTGGTTCTGTGGCAAGGCAGAACACCAAACAGAAACCAGTTCTCTGTTTCTCTAGTGGGTTTTAACATGTTTCTTTTTTGCTGTCAGAATCTGTGACCGGGGTCTGGAGAGATGACTTAGAGGTTTCAACTTCCAGAGGATGAGGCTGAAATCCCATGTGGTGACTCACAACCTCCAGATCTAGGAGATCTGATGCTCTCTTCTGGCCTCTGGGGACACTGCACACAGGGGGTGCACAGACATATATGCAGGCAAAATACCCATACATGCAAAATAATAAAATAAAACCTCTGTGACCGTGAGGCTCACAGCACCCAGTGGGGTCTGTGCATCCATGGGTATACTGACCATACCCATGGATGTCAGCATTTTATTACCGGGACAAACTACCCAAGGGTAACAACTTATAGGACAAATATTGATTCTGAATCACAATTTCAGAGGATTCAATCCAACATCCTCAGTCAGCCCTGTTGCTGTGGATACGTGGCAAGGCAGAACACCATAGAAAATCCAGGACAAAGATGCTCACATCCCACAACCAGGAAGCAGAGAGTAACAGGGAGGATCCAAAGACAAGCCACACCCCCAGTTATCTACTTTCTCCAATCAGACCCCACCTCCTAACAGCCCCATCCAGCCTTGAGTACACCAATGGGTTAATCCATCCATGACGTCACCACCCTTGTGGTCCAATTACCTCTCAGCTGAGACCCACCCTTCAACCTAAGAGCCTTTTTGAGGGACACTTCAAATCCAAACACAGGACCAAGGGCCACCTTAAGCATCTTCAAACTTGCAACTGGTGCCAGAAATGCGTGTTCTTGAGCCACCAAAACGCTGCCATCCCTGTGGGTGTCAGTGTGACAGTCACATCCCTGATATTTGATGGTCCTCATCCAATAGGGAAGACTGGCCTCTGGCTTGGAGCCCTTGGTCAGCAACCTGATCCTCAGCTAGAAGGCAATATAATACTTTGTCCTCATGTGTCTCCACTGCAGTTATCTTAATGGCTATTTTCTGTTTATATCGACCAGTATTGACTTCCCACAGGACTGGCTTTTAGAGTAAATTTATTAAGTTAAAAAGGAGTTGGTCCTTACTTGGAAGTAGTGTACTGTATAGGTGGATGAGAACTCGGCAAAGGTTGGAGGATGCCATGATTGACGTTTGGGAAGTACCATCCTAGGAACATCCTAGAGCATCTGCATTCTGGTGTGACTGCCCAGCCAGGGGCAGACCACAGCTAGCTTCCCCATTTTAAAGGCTCTTTCCCTCCTGTAACAGTCTTCTTCCCCCTTCCTGGGGCTGTGCAGTGTTTTTAAAAAGTGATCCACAGTTGTTCATAGTGGCGCACCTTTAATCCCAGCACTCGGGAGACAGAAGCATGTGGATCTCCATGAGTTCAAGGTTAGCCTGGTCTACACAGAGAGTTTCAGGACAGGCAGGGCTACATTTTGAGACCTTGTCTCAAAAATAAAATAGAATAAAGTGACCCATAGTTGGGAATAAACGTCATATCATCATCATTGTGTATTAATTTTTTCAGGTTGTACATATTTAAATCAGCAAGATGTGGTCGGTACACACCTATAATCCCAACAGTTGGGAAGTTGAGGCAGAGGGCAATGAGTGTGAGGCCAGCCTGGGCTAAGTAATGAGTCTGTCTCAGAACTTTAAAAGAAGACAGCAATGATAAGCAGGGCTCAGTTGGTGAAGAGCTTGCCCAGCATGTGGGAGACCCTCGCCTCAGTCCCCAGCACCACACGAGACTGAGTACGGTAAGTGCTGAGTGCATGTCTGCAGTCACTCAGGAGGTGGAAACAGGAGGGCTGCCACAAGTGGCCAGCCTGGGCTACAGAGAGAGCCCCACCTTAAAAAATAGAATAGTGACATTTTCAGATGATTTGAGTGTGTGTGTGTGTGTGTGAGAGAGAGAGAGAGGGGGGGGGAGGGAGGGAGGGAGGGAGAGGGGGAGGGGGAGGGAGAGGGGGAGGGAGAGGGAGAGAGAGAGATTTCTTGCTGACAGGTGGATTTTGCTTGTTTTTTTCCCCTGAGATGTGAAAAAAGGTCTGTTTACACTGGACAGGTCACTCCCTGAGTCTTCCAAGGGATGTTTCGACTGTAAGGAAGCAGCTCCCAGCAGTTGCTCCTGCTCCAGTTAGGTGGTGGGTGTCAGTAAAGCAAGCCCTCTCTCTTAGGACAGATACCATCTCCCTCTGTCTTCAGGAATCCCCCCCAGGACACCAAAGCCTATGGGTGCTCAGGTCCCTTACATAAATGGTGTAGTGTCTGCACATACCCCTCCATACACCTTAGAGCATCCATGGAGGCCAGAGGCATCAGATCCCTCTGGAGCTCCAGTTAGAGGTGGAGCCACCCAACATGGGTGCTGGGAATCACACTGCAATCCTCTGTAAGAGCAGTACATGCTCTTAACCAATGAACCAGCTCTCCAAACCTTCTTTTATTTTCACGTGTGTGTGTGTGTGTGTGTGTGTGTGTGTGTGTGTGTGTGTGCAGTGACTACAGAGGCCAGAAGAGGGCACCAAATTCTCCAGGAGCTGGAGTTACAACTGACTGTGAGCCACCAGAAATCAGTGTGCACTCTGGACAGCACAGTCACCTTCCCAGCCCCTCCCTTTGTTTTTGGAGACAGGAATCTCTCACTGAACCCCGCCTAGTTGTCCTGTAGACTAGCTTGCTGGGTCTCTGGGTGTGAGCTGCCACAACTGGCTTTTCTGTTTATTTGTTTGTTTCTCAAGACAGGTTTCTCTGTGTAGACCTGGATGTCCTGGAACTTACGCTGTAGACCAGGCTGTTCTCCTACTCACAGAGATCTGCCTGTCTCTGCCTCCCTAGGGATTAAAGGCATGTGCTACCACACCCAGGCTCACAGACCCTCCTGTGAGCACACACTCCCCTACTAGGCCATCTACCCGGTGCAATTTGTTTATTATATGAAACATTCTGACATTCTCTTTCTTATTTATTTAGTTTTGTTCATTTTCTTTTTTACTTGTTTTTGAGACAGGGTCTCATAATGAGGCTCTAGCTAGCCTAGAATTTGCTATGTAGACCAGGCTGAAATTGAACTCACAGGGATTCTCCTACCTCTGCCCCCTCACCACCTAGTTCTGGGATTACAGGTATGCACCACTACACCCAGCCTAGTTAGTTATTTTTAAGACAGGGATTCATGTCACACAGGCTAGACTTGAACTTGGGATACACAACCAAGGGCATTGAACTTCTGATCCCTCGTCTCCACCATCTAAGTTCTGGGATTCCAGGCACACTCCACCATGACTGGTTTCACATGGTGTTGGGGTTCAAATTGGAACTTCTGGCCAGACTGGGCAGGCGCTCAGATCATTCGCACACCCAGCCCAAGATTTTTCTCTTCTCGTGACTTCATTTCTTATTTCACATGGCTCAGGGCCTGCTGGAATGATTTCATAACCCCTAGCTCACTCTGACTTGAAGTTTCCGCAGCAGCATTACGCAAACCCCTGCCTGGGATCTGGTGTCTTGACTGCAGTGTGACAATGACCATAACCCTGGAGAAGCCACTTACCCCTCCCCCCACACCCTGAGCCTGAAAGGACTAGGCTGGCCAGATTTGGCTGAGCCCTGACCATGAGGTAGAGTCCAAGGATCCCAGGAAATGTCTGCCTGAGCCCGGCCCCCTCCACTCTGCTCACTCCTGACCTGGGCTCAGAGCCCATCCCAGAGCCCCCCCCCAGCCTCCCTGGTGGAGACAAAGCTTGGGGTGCCGGCTGCACAGTCACACCTATGCATGAGGTACCCTGAGGGGCAGAGGGACTGGCTGTGGAAGGTAAGGGGGTGACTGTGGACAGGGGTCCCCACTTCATCCTTACTCATGCTCTGATACCCAGATATGCTGGTTCTAACCCACGTTCTGAAAGTGGGCTGGCCCTGGGTTCTTCCTCTCTTCCCTGCACACACATCTTCCTCCCCCTGCTCACTTGATTTTCATGAGCACCTTGGCCTACTCCCAAGGGCTCCAAGCCCAGCCCTGACTCTACCTCCCACTCCCCCACCACAGACTCACAGAAGACAGAGGCTGTGGAAGAACCACCATATGGATTTATCTGAACAGATTAGATAAGGGGCAGGCAGGGCAGTGCCTGGGGAGCCAGGCACCCTCCGGGTGGGGAGGCCACCAGCCTTAGGCCAGGCTCCCTGCAGTGGCCTCTTCTTCCCGGGTTCCTTTTGTGTTGACCACTCTGTAGGCTCTTGGGGTAGAGGAAGGAGGCAGGGGATGGTGAGCAGCCGCTGTGGTATGGAGACTCCAGCTGGGTGTCAGTCCCCACTCACCTGTGGCGATTCAGGCACATCTGGGACATCTGTCTACACTTCCCACCTAGCAGAAAAGGAAGCAGTTCTCCCATGAGTCAGAAACAGTGTTGATTATCACATGCACACTGGGGACCAGCAGGGGGACAGGTAGGCCAATCCTGGCCCTCAGGAAGCTCCCAGTCCACTTAACAAACATGTAAAGGGCCAGTGAGAGGGCTCAGCCAGTAAAGGTGCTTGCGGCTAAGCCAGACAACCTGAGTTCTGTTCCTGGAACCTATGTGGTAGAAAGAGGAAACAAGGGGCTGGAGAGGTGGGTCAGAGGTTAAGAGCACTGACTGCTCTTCTGGAGGTCCTGAGTTCAATTCCCAGCAACCACATGGAGGCTCAGAACCATCGATAACTGTAGTCCCATGGGATCCGATGCCTTCTGGTGTGCAGATGTACACACAGACAAAACCCCCATATACATAAAATAAATAAATCTTTGTAGTTTTTTTGTTTGTTTGCTTTTAGACAGGTTTTTTTCTGTGTAATTCTGTAGACCAGGCTGGCCTCAAATTCAGAGATCTGCCTGGGTCTGCCTCCTGAGTGCTGGGATTAAAGGCGTGTGCCGACACCCAGCTAATCTTCGTTTTAAGAGAGAGAGAGAGAGAGAGAGACAGACAGACAGACAGACCGAACCAACTCGTGAACGTTGTCCTCTGATCTCTGCATGTGCACTGTACGCACCCACACACACACACACACTGAAATAAATAAGCACAGGTGGGACAGAACAGTCGTGCAAAGGCCCTGGGGTAAAAGGGCAGGGATGAGTTCCAAGGACAAGAGAGAGGCTGGGACCTGGATCAGAGTCAACCGGGTATGGGTAGAGATGTAAAGAAGCCCCGGGGAAGCGAGGCTATGGCAGCCCACCTGCCTCTCTGGCCTCGTGCCCTCCCCTGCCTGCCTGCGACACCCTAGCCTCTTCTCACTGTGTCCCATCAGTGCCCAGCTGTTCTGCCCTGGACCTCTGCAGATGCTGCTCCCTCCGGCCGGGGAGTTTGCAGTCACCTGGCCCTTAGGATTTCACCCCCACCTCTTGCTTGATTGACGAGGACTCTCCTCTCTTCCATACTCTGGAAGAGTGTCAAGACCTTGCACTGAGTCTCTCGTGGTGTGGGTGTGGCCCTCTAAATGTCCATCTTAGCCCTGGGGCCTCAGTACCAGGCCTGGGGGCTTTTGGTGGCCAGGAAGTCATTGGTCCGCTCTCTGTCAGTGAACCCTCAGGAGGAGGAGCTGTCCTAGAAAGATCAGCCAGTCTCCTCTCTGCTCTCTCACTTCCTGTCTTGTCATGTGGCCTCTCCTGCTACACACCCTCCCGCACCAGAGGTGGACGTGGGGTGTGTTCATCACTCTCCACTTCGTTTTATTTGAAGACAGAGTTCTTTGTTGAACCTGGCGCACACCGACTCAGCTACACTGGTTGGCTCTCTCTCTTCAGCATGGGGTGGGGGGTGGTGTCACAGACACTTGCTGCCACCCCAGGGTTGGGCATCTGAACTCAGGTCCACGTAAGCACCTTACCCACTGATAGCTCCCGAGTCCCGTGGATCCCTCCTTAAGCTACAAGCCGGAAGAAGCAGCACCTTAAGCCGCTCCTTGCTGAGTATTTGATCACAACAACGAGAAAAGCAACCAACAGAGCTCCGGTCAGTGTCAGGGTGCGGATGTGGCTCAGGTGCACAGTGCTGGCCCAGCACGCACAAAGTGATGGGTTTGATTCCCAGTGCGTCATTAACCAAGTGTGCCTATAGTCTAAGCACTTGGGAGGTAGAGGCACGAGGATCAGAAGTCCAAGGCTGAGGTGGTAGAGGTGGCTTAGGGATTGGTCACTTCCTACTTTTGGAGAGTATCCAAGTTTGTTTCCCAGCACCCATCCTCATATAGGGAGGCTCTATATATCTCGTGCAACTCCAGCTCCAGGGGATCCAACACTCTCTTCCGGCTGTCATGGGCATCGGCACTCACATGTGCACACACCCACACAGATACACACCTACACACATTTAAAAATAAAAATAAATCTCTTAAAAAAAAAAAAGATATTCAAGGCCATCTTTGGCTACATAGTTAAGTTCAAAGCCAGCCTGGGCTACATGAGACCTGTCTCAAAACAAACAGACAAACAAACAAAAAACCCAAAACAAAACACCAAAAAGTGCTGAGCGGTATGGCACACACCTATAATCTCAGCCCTCAGGAGGCCGAGGCGGAAGGGTGGTGAGTTTGAGGCCAGCCTGGACTGCATAGTGAGACCCTGTCTCAAAAAGAAAATAACGCAATCTATTTTCTCATTTCACAAATGAAGCTGGCCCTTGGCTTGCAGTGAAGCAGAGTGTGGTGGACTCTGAGCAGCCGTCTGAGCCTGCGTGTCTTCTCTGTCTGTGCCTGCTTGTCTCTCTCATCTGGGCACCACCACATGCACAAGCCCAGGAAGACTAAGATGATAAGGGGAAGCGGCGTGCTCCCTGGGAACAGCGCCCCCTGCTGACTCAGCCCAGCTGCAACCAGAAGAGGCTCCCAGCGGGGCCAGCCGGCTTCCACAGGGCAGGCTCGGAGCTGTAGGGAACCTGAGTTTGCACAGCTTTGCCCAAGGGGTTTCATGACCCTGACCAGGCAGCCCGGACCGCCCCGCCCCGAGTCTCGGCGCCCTTTCTGCCCAAGCCCCACTCTCACTGGTGAGGATGATGATGCCCGTGATGAACAGCACGGCCGCCACCAGCAGCCCCCGTTTCCGGAGAGTGAAATCATCTGCGGAGACAGAAATGGAGGTGTCGGGCAGGGGGCCTTTGTCCCACCTCCAGCGGTGGTGGGGTGGGAGGCGGTAACTTACCATAGTAGAAGGGGTCGTTCTCATCCTTATCTAGAGAGGACAGATAAAAGTGAGTCAGAGCTGGGCAGAGGGTTGTGGGGTGAATAAGTGCCGAGCAGGGAGTGAGGACACCTGAGACTCAGCCTCCTAAGCCTTAGGACAAAAACGGAAGTCCTCACTGTGACATGCCGCGTGGCTCCTGAGCCTTCTCTACTCAGTTTCCCTCTTGGCACTCACTGGCCTTCCTGCTCCCAAGTCCCACCAGACATCCACTCACCTTAGGTCCTTTGTATGAACAGCCTTTCCCTAGACACCCACAAGACCCCTCTGGCACTTCCTTAACCAGAAAACCTTCCTTGGATCTGTGTATGAGACACTCCCTGATCATTCTCGAATCCCCAATTTCATGCTCTTTTTCTTGATAAATTAAAAATCACCCGATAAAAAGTACTCCAACTATTACATGCTATCTCCCCTTACTAACGCGTCAGCTTCAGAGGGTCTCTCTATAGCCCAGGCTGTCATGGAACTTGCTATATAATCCAGGGGGGCCTCAAACTTGCAGCCATCTTCCTTCCCTGCTTCCCAGGTACAAAGATTACAGGGATGTACCACCATGCCCAACAACAGAGAGATATTTGTCTGTCTTGTTCATGGCTGCCTGAAACACACATGAATCTGTGCTGAACACACAGATGAATGGGTGACCTGGGCATATGGCTTCAATGCCTTCAGTGAGTGTGCAGTAGGCAGGAAGTGGAGATAAGGGGTGGGGGAATGAAGAGGACCACATGGGCCCGAGCTGGTCCACAACTGACCTTAGGTGTGTGAGCGAGTCTACAACGGCCAGAAGAGCCACACAGCTGAGCCCAGCCTGACTTTCAATTTGTAGAATCAGGAGTTCAGAAAGCAGCCACCTGGGCTTGTTCGGCCTTTACCCACGTGCTGCCGTCTGTCCAGTCAGACCTCACAGCGTTCCTACCCTCTGCCAGCCTCCTCCGTGGCATGAGCCTTGCAGACTTTCCCACACCGAGCGGAAACTACGGGGCACCTGTTTCTAGTCAGGAAAAGGAGGTTCTAACCTCGTGCCTCGGGTAAGTGGTGCGACATCCTGTCTTTGGTTGGTCTTGGAGTCCTGATCCCAGGGAGCGTCGTAGTACCTTCAGGTGAAAGGCAGAAAAAAATTCAGAAGACGGTGGAGGGCAGGAATGGCCACAGGGACAGACACAGAGATGTGGATGTAACAACAGGAATACATCTTTGCCTCTGGGGACAGCTACCAGGCACCTCCCACTGACACTCTGGCAGCGAGCACCTGCCTGCCCCCCCCCCCAGGCTGGCCCCTCTCCCAGAACTCTATTCATAACCCAAGCGCAGAAGCCAGGATTTCACGGACTTGGTTCCCACTGTCCTGGAGACACTTATTGAAGATATTGTGAGCATCCCTTCTGCTTTGGGACCAAAAATAGCAGAGCATTTTCTTTTTACTTTTAATTTAATTAAAAAAAAAATTGGAGGCGGGGTCTGCCATGTAACCCACGCTGGCCTCACGTTCTCTCATCCGCTTCTGCCTCCCGAGTTCTGGTACTACGTGAGGATTAGGGGTCATCTGCTGCCTCAGTCTCAGCTCAGCCTCTTTCCTCACACCTGCTGTCACCATCAACCTGTAGGAAACTACTTCCTTTCTGATTCTGGGCTGTGTGGACTTTTCCAGCCTCAAGGTGAGGAACATCGACCAATCAGAACTGCCCACTTTTCAGGCTTCCATTGGGTCAGACAAGGACATGTGAGTTCAACGGGACCAATGAGAGTCAATTTCAGGCTTTGGGCAGGGCTTACGGGAAAGAGGTCTGTGTCACCCAGCTGCTCAAGTATGGGACATCTTTGCTTCCCAGAAGCAAAGGGAATGAAGACGGTGGAGGCCTGAGGGAGCAAGTCAGACAAGACACACCGACAGTTCCTACGTCCCTTGGTCCAGCTGTGCCCTGACACCGTATCTTCAGATTTTACAGAATTGAGCCAATACATCTTTTTGTTTTTGTTTTGTTTTGTTTGTTTGTTTTTCCCAGACAGGATTTCTCTGTAATTTTGGTGCCTGTCCTGGATCTCGCTCTGTAGACCAGGCTGGCCTTGAACTCACAGAGATCTGCCTGGTTCTGCCTCCCGAGCGCTGGGATTAAAGGTGTGTGCCACCATCACCTGGCCCAATACATCTTTTTTAAAAGGTATATTTTGCAACTGAAAAGACCCCACTGTAACAGAAAAAGAAGACACAAAGGAAATCCACAATTCCATTTCTCAGCGCCCGCCAGCCCAGAGATAGGGAAAGGACAGGCAGTCGGCTTCTCTTTGCACTGGGGTAACATGCTAGAATGTTCCAGCATGGAGTTACTTGCTATGGAGCAGCTTCATCAAGGGTCTGAGAAGGTATTTCATAAAGAAGCATTGAACTTTAACTCAGAATCCTCCAAATAGCTTCACACACACACTCACACACACACTCACATATGCTCTCTCACACACACAGACACTCACACATGCACATACTCACAGACAGAAACAAACTTGCACACACTCACACACACACAGGCACTCACACATCAACTCTATCACACACAGACATACACATGCACTCTCGTTTGCTCGCTCTCACACAGAGACACTCACGCGCATGCGCGCGCACACACACACTCACAGACACACTCACATAGAGATACACACAAACACACTCACATGTGAACTCTATCACACACAGACAGACACAGACACTCACACTCAGACACATGAACGAATACACTCACAGACACTCTCAAACACAGTCACACACAGACATAGACACACACACACACACACACACCCTGAGAGTTTATTAGCAGTTCCCCAGGCAGGTGCTTAAAGAAGAGCACTTGGGGAATGCTGACCCAGAACCGAGGCAATTAAACAAAAACTCGAGGCCGCCGCTGTCAGCCAAGGCTCTACCTTCCTTACTGCTCCTGTGTGTCCCCGGATCTGTCCCTGGATTCGTGGTGGTCACTCCCATTTCTGTCCGTTGCTCGGTCTTGGTTCTGGCCACTGTCTGGCTTTGTGTGGTTTCTACTCCAGTCAGAAGAAGAGGAGGGAAGGGTGAGAGGTGAGGGATGAGACGTGCTCGGCCACAGAACTGCCAGGCAGAGTTCCCTCCACATGCTGGTACACACGGGAAAAATATCAGGTGTCACTTGGGATGGGGCGGGGACTCTGAACATCACAGGGGAATGAAATGTGTGTCTGTGGCCACCATCTAGACAACTTTTCTTTAAAAATAAAACAGAACAGGGTCTCACCGAGTAGCCTAGGCCTACCTTAAGTTTTTCATCTCCTTGCCTCGGCTTCCTGTGTGCTGGCATAGAACAATTTATACTTCATTTGGGGGGGGATTGAACTCAGAGCCTCATACATGATAGGCATTCTTTCACTGAATCCCCAGACCCTCACTGGGGGATTCTAGGCAGGGGCTCTACTACTGAGCCACATCTCCAGCGTCATTAATCATTAACTGAAGAAATGAAAAGGGACACTCTAAATTATGCTATACTCTAAGAAAAAGTACAATAATTACTTGAAAAACAACTTTTAAGGAGATACAGACCTGAGCAGGCACTGGGAGTGTCTGTAAAGATCGAGTATTCAACTTTTGAAAGTGGGTCAATTTTAAAAAAATATTGTGTTTTTAAGTCAATGGAATTGGATACCAGATAGGCTCAGGCAGCTTGTAATGCCAACACTCCAGAGGCTGAGGCAGGAGGATTGCCCTGAGTTCAAGGCCACCCTGGGCGACAAAGCAGTAGTGTCTGGACAAAATAAACATAGAATGGAGCTGACAAGGGTCCAGAGCTGTGGTGGGCTGAAGTGAGCAAGGAAACATCAGATGTCAGAGGAAGGGGTATGTGTCTGGGCCCTCCCCCCACCCTGCCCCACCCCACTCACCATCAGCTTCCCAGTGCGGAATGGGAGTGGTAGGCTGGACTTCTGGGTTGGTTTTATCTGGAATTAGGGTAATAACAGGGTCAGAGAGAGAAGTGAGAAGGGAACAGCAGCAGAGTTTCCGCAGGTGGAGACTGGAGAGTTTCCATAGCAACTCCATCTTTTTTTTTCACTGCCTGTCCATCTGCAAGAGCGGCAGGGGCAATCTCCACTGTCTTTCCTTAAGAGCTGTTTCATTGGCTTGGAACTCTCCAAGTAAGTCAAGCTGGCAAGCTCTAGGGAGCCATCTGTCTCTGCCCCCACCCACCTTGGGGTTTGCAACCACGTGCCATTATGCCTGGCCTTTTATGTGACTTCTGGGGACTGAACTTGGGTCCTTATGCTTGTGATGCAAGTGCTTTACTGACTGCCTTCAACTCCATTTTGAGGTGATAAGAGGAATTCAGGCCCTCTGATAAGCACTAAAACATGATGCCTGGGTCTCCCCTGCCTCCAGACCACTAGCAAGACTCAGAAGGCCTTCCTGAAAAAAGGATGTTTGACTCAGTTTCCCAAACCTTCCTGACCACAAACCAGTATCACTTGCTCTAATAAGAGCCCCTGGGCTGGGTACTCAGGAGGTGGATTGTGCTTGGAGCATCCTCCTCCTCAGATATCAAATGGGACAGCTGATGGGTGGAAAGATTTAACCTCCCTGGCTTTAGATTCTTCTCGATGAGAAGCTGGCTAGAGATGAACCCAACACAGAGGACCCAGAAGCCAGATTTGGTGTTAGATCCCTGACAGCGTTGAAGCACCTAGATCAGGTCATGCCTGAAGCTCTATCCCTGATTTTTTTTTTTCCAGTTACACAAACGTTAATTTCCCTGTTTGGTCCAAGCATGGTGGCATCATTACCCGCAGTGAGAATTTTATAGACCTGCATCACTTTTCTTACCTGGGACATGAGTATTCACAGAAGTCTGGTCCTCCGCAAAACTGGATGTGGCCTTTTCTGGTGTCTGCCCTGGGGAACCAAGGCTGAGCGGTCAGAAGGAGCCTCGAACTCCCTTTGGCCCCACCATGCCAGACCTTCTGAAGCCTCTTGGCAGTCCTGAAGGTCCTGACTCCCAGGGGAACCAGCTTTGGCTGGGTCACTCCATGGTCCTGAGAACACTTTAAGCCTAGCTGCTACTGCTCCAGGGCCTTTGCTCACCCTTCCAGGACAGTCTCATTGAGAGTCAGGGTGCTGGGTCAGCCAGGGCCATGGTTTCCATTCTGCTCCCAACCACTTTCTCCTTGCTGTGTGCCCTGAGCCACTGATGCCCCCACTCTATGTCTCCTTTGCCCCATCTGAAAAGTGGGGGTGCCTCACTGCTTCCCGGGCTAAACCCTGTCTCCTCCCACTGGGGTGCCCAGCAGCCCCTCTCTGGCTTCCTGCAGCCAGAAAGGACCTGTGAGGAAATCCAAGTCAGGACAGACCCTCCAGGCTCAGAGCCCAGGGCAGCTGCGCCTCACTCTAGGGAAAGCCAAAATTTTCATCTGGTCCCCAAGTTCCCCCGCCTCCAGTCCTACCACCATCTTCTCCACCTGTTACTGATTTCACCCCAACCCAGCCTTCCACTGTGTCTCAGATCCACACAGACAGCTCCTTCCTCTTCCTGTGCCCCCACATTTGCGCCCCGCCCCCAGCATCCCAGTCCATACAACAGGGCAACTAAGTGCGTGAGCTGAAGCACAAGACACACTAGCAAGTGCCGACCTGGCTTGTCCCTTTTCAGAAGTGCTTTCCAGGTGAGGGTGAGGGGCTCCTACTCTATACCCTAGCCCCACTTGGACCCGTTTGCCTGACTGTGTTCTTAGAAAACCCAGCAGTTCTGCTTTGCTGGGAGCCTGGGGTTTCCTGGCTGCCGAGTAGAAAACTGACACCCATCTCCCAGCCAAGTCAAACTCAACAAGTCCTTCTCAGCGGTGAAGGGGAGTGTGCTCAGCAGGGCAGGCTCCAGCCAGACCCTCTGCAAACAGCCACCCCAGGTCTGAAGTGTCCAAAGAGGGTGCAACCCAGAGCCTGCCTCGCCAGGCTTCGCCCCACTTCCTGGTGCCAGCTCACTGCAGGCAAGGGGCGTGAGATGGTACAGAGCATTCAATCTTCAGTCACCCACCTAGCCGCCCACTGAGATGGGGTGGTGGTGGTGGTGGGGTCGTCTTACCTCTGCTGGGCAGAATCAGGACGACAAAGACGAGGAGACACAGACGACTGGATGGTGACATCTGTGGGGTGAGTGGAGGGAAAGGTGAGTGAGGCAAGACCCCTCGGCAGCCCCACGTCCTCCTGGAGCAGGCCCCTGGCTTCAAGGATCCTCTGGTACCTGCCTCTGGGAAGGGATGCTTTTCAGAAGCCCGCGTCCCAAGTCACCATGCCCTTCTTCCATGAGCCGATCCCCAAAGAAAGCCAGAAGCATCAGCTAAGCCTGGCCTCCTGACAGCCCTGAGGCAGAGAGGCTGTTCCCTGCTCCTGCACCTCCTCGCCGCCGGTGGTGGTTCCCTGGCAGAGGAAGCCAGGGGCCCCGCGGTGTCTGCTCCCTCGGGGACGCAGCCCAGAGCGGTGGGGCCCGGAGGGGAAGAGGAAGGGTGACTAATGCCTCAGAGGAAAAAGTGAGCTGGTGTTCGGCTGCCTTGCAGGCACCACCGCACCCATGCTAGGAATATTTCAGAAGAACCAGTCTGCCCGGGATGGAGAGACTCCTCTCTGGGGAGACTGAGGCAGGAGGTGTGCCCACAGAGGAACCAAGGGTGATGCGAGGTAGAGAAGCATCCAGGTCCCCCCCCCCTCCCGCCCAAGCTGCTTCCCATCTGCATGCCGTGGCCCTCAGCAAGAGGGGAGAGCAAAAGAGGGACTTACGTCCGAGCCCAGGGTCTCTAGCCTGGAGTGTGAGAGTACCGCGTGGGAGCCGCCTCGGGGCGGAGGGTGTGGCCAGGGGCGCGGGCGCGGGCGGGCGGGGACCAGAGCGGCTCAGTCATTTCCTCTCTGGCTTCCAGGCCCCACCAGCAGGGGTGGGAGCAGGAGCGGTGGAGGGCGATGGGGGACTGAGGGCGGTGGCCTCCATTCGAGGGTCTGGGAGACGCAGATGGGGACAAGCGTACCGAGGAGGGAAAGCCTCTTGGGTAGGTTTGAAGGGAAGGATGTGGTGAGGGAAGGAGAGGGAGGAAGGAACAGGACGGCTACCTCAGCCTCCTACCCAGCCGTTGGGTGCCCACAGACGACAACACACAGACAGAACGGGAGGAAAAAAACAAATGCACATTTATTAAGCTCAAGACATGGACCCTGAGGGGACAGCCGGGAGGGTCCTGGAGAAGGTGACCAGGAGATGCAGGAGGGAGGGATACGAGGATCCCAGGGGCCTGGGGATGGACTCCTGGATCCCAGGAGCTGGAGGCCTGAGTCTCTGGGTCTGGGGTGCAAATGGGCTCTTTGGGGGATCGTCGTTGCCAAGGCCTGGGGAGGGACAGCGGGGTGCAGTGGCTCCGGCCTTGGGGTGGGTGTGGCGGCTCATTGGGGGCACACTCCCCGGCGCCAGGCTGGGTCCCCACCGCCTTCACCCGGTCCTCGGGCTCCTGCGCTGCGGCCAGGGACAGCAGTGGAGATCTGTAGAGGGTCCTACACACCGCCACCTCCGGGTGCTGGGAACAGAAGAGAACCCACGTTAGTGACCCAAGTGAGGGAAAGAACCAGAGTCCAGGGATGGTCTCCTTCTGGCTAGCCTTGGGGAGTCCTCATGTCTTCCCCATCCCCTGATATCTGGTCACCATGAGGACATCTTCATTGCTGCTATGGGCTCCATCTCGGGCCATGGAGTAAAGGACACCTAAGGCTGACCTGAATGTTCCCGGGGGTTTAAAGTCTCCTTGGAAGAAGGAATCCCCACCTCATGCTACACCCCCAAGCTCCTTTTCTATACCTGCTTTTGACAACCTGAACATCAGGCAGGCATCTTTCAGGCCTCCACTTCCCTTCCCGGACAGGCCGCCTTTGTTCTCCCACCCCGACTAGGGCTGAGCCAAACACCTGCACCCACCCTACCCCAGCACCACAAAGACACCTCTGATGTTCTTAACTCTTGTTAAGAAGACACGAAACAAGACCTAATTTCTCACCCATCCTCCCCCACAGACCCTATATCCTCAGAGTGCCACCCTTCGTCGTAAGATTTTAATGGGAAGCTAGCCTAGTGGCTCACACCTGTAAACACCCCAGCACTTGGGAGGCGGAGGCAGAGGGATGGCTGTGAGTTTGAGGTTGACACAGTGAGTTCTTTACAGAGTCCTGGACATCCAGGACTAAAGAGAGACACGGTAAGAGGAAGACAGCCCCACCTCTGATATGTTTTACTCCCCAAAGTCCCTAGAAAGGAGGTAATTCTGCTAATAAACACGCCCAAGGTCTCCCCTGTACAACCTCTCCTCACACCTTCGTCTCCCCCACCCCCACCCCATCGTTTTCCAGCCTTCTTTATCGTCTTCCTGTCCCCACACGCTGCCCCTCCACGCGCCACCCCTCCACGCGCCGCCCCTCCATGCTCTCCTCTTCTCTCTTCTACACCAGCTTCCTCTTCCCCACTTCCTTCCAGCTGGAATCATTTTTCTTTTTCTTCTTTTTGAGACACAGGCTCATGTAGGCCAGGCTGCTCTCTGACTCTCTCCATAGCTAGGGATGGCCTCAAACTCCTGATTCCCCTGCCTCCACCTCCAGAGTGTTGAGATTATGAACAGGTACTGTGCTCAGTTTAGGCAGTGCTTGGGATTCGACCCAGGGTCGCATGCATGGAGGCAAGCACCCCAGCGGCATGCCCCTCCAAACCTTATCTTTTTGTTTGTTTGCTGTTGTTGTTTTGGTTTGAGACAGGGTCTCACTATGAAGCCCTGGCTGGCCTGGAATTCACAGAGATGCACCCCCTCTCCCCAACTCACTCCAACTCTCAAGTTCTGGGATTAAAGGCATAGATTCTTGCCTTCCCTCCATCTTTAAATCTGCATTCTATGCTTCATCCGGTCGCCCTTATTCAGAAGCCCACCCTCTCTTCCCTCGCTCTCCTTTCTCTCTCCTGCCCTTCCTCTTTCTTCCCTGTGGGCCCACTGGAAGGTAGAGGGGAAGCCTGTGTGGGTTTCCCAGGTGCTAGCTGGCCCCTTCCATCCTCCCAGACTCCCCCAGCCACACCCCACCCACCAAGCTCTCTGATGCCTGCATTTTGTGGGGACCTCCTTGAGATATTGCCGGAACCCCCTCTCTGCAACTTCACCCCCTGAAGGACCCAGGATCGGCTGCAGCCTGGTGGGGCCCCAGGCTCCAGTCCCCCCACGTAGCCCTCTAAGGATCCTGCTAGCCTCCTCCAAAACCATGCTCACCTGAGGAGGGCAGTTCCGACTTACAGGATTTGCATGTTGGGCTGTGGAGAGAGAGAGAGAGAGAGAGAGAGAGAGAGAGAGAGAGAGAGAGAGAGAGAGAGGAAGCAGGTTAGCGGGGTGGCTAGGTTCCCCAGGCCCTATGTTAGGTCTCCATCCCAGTTCCCCAGGCTGCCCCACCTCTCAGACCTGGAGTCCGCCTTCCTGCACTTCACCTTCTTGCCTGTTAGGAAAGAGACAGCAGGGGGCAATGCCAGTGGGCAGGAAGAGACAGGGCAGGGCAAGCAGAGGACCTTCACAGGTGAGGAGGGAGTGGGTGAGGCCTGCAGGGGACCCCTGAGGATTGACAATCGGGACCTTTGCAAGTGCAGACAGACGGGGTAGGGGTGGGCAGGAGATCCTCTTAGGGTGGGGACACTTTCAATTTGGGGACCCCACAAGTGGGGAGGGCACTTACTGAGGATGATGATGATCCCCAGCACGAACATGATAGTGGCCAGGGTCATCCCCACAGTCTGTACGGTGGCATAGTCTGAGGGAGACAGCGGGAGGACCTCAGGGCAGGGCAGCTCTCAGGCCGGCCCAAGCCTCAGGTCAGTGGCCCAACAGGACAAGAAATCTGCCAGCTGAGCCCCCAACTCCACCAGGGACTTGGGGAGAACTCAGATTGCCTGGGCCAGTCTGAGACCTCTGTGCCTCTCTACCCTCCACCCTCCTTCCCAATGCTGCCCTTCTGGATTCTCACACGGGACACTAAGCCCCATCAGTCGCCCCTTCCCGGGTCCTCATCTGTCCTCCATGGTCAGGGCCTAGACTATCCCGGCAGATCTCTCTATGGTATTGCTGCCCTGCCCCCACTCTTCCTCCCACAGCCACAAGAACTCTATTACTCCCAGTCAGATCGGGGCCTGCAGAGGCCTCCCAAATGGCCCCCACAGTATTCCAAGCAAAAACCAAGATAAATCAAGATTTGAACCTCAGAGTCGTAAAATGACTTCTGATTATTTCAGTGCACGAGCCCATTAGCCCTGGTCATAATCTTAGGTGGAGATGCTGAGTACCGCTTGTTATTGAGACAGGCAGCAGCCTCACCTGACTGACAGAGTCCGTCTAGCTCTGATATAATGAATGAGAGTTCTCAGTGGATGACCTAGCCCTGATCTTACTGAGGCTTCACACACCCTTCTCTTCTCACCAGTCCCCTGCTTAGCTACATAAACCCCCAATCCTCGAGCATGCCAGCCATCACCTCAGGACCTTTGCACTAGCTGCTTCCTCTGCCGGAAGGCTCCATGCACCTGACTTCCTCACCAACCTGTGGGTTTAACTGAAACGCTCCATTAAAAAGTCTCATGGCCCCAGCTCTCTCTAACCCCATTCCCTTTCTTTCTTTCTTTCTTTCTTTCTTTCTTTCTTTCTTTCTTTCTTTTTCTTTTTTGAGGCTGGGTCTCACTACATAGTGCAGACTGATCTCAAACTCACAATCCCATTGCCACAGCCTCTTGAATGCTGGGAAGAATTATTCTTGTTTGCTGTACATGTGTGATGAATAGGAGGAGAGCATGTGGCTGTTAGGGCAGAAAGGCTGGTCTAGAACCTCGCCATGGTGTCCCCAGAGTCAGGTGTGGGGCCTAGCATCCAGCACACACAGGCGTCACAGGGAGGGGACCGTGGAGCTCTGGTGCTGATCAAACATTCATCAACAAACAAAAATTGCTAACAAAAACAAAACCACACACACACATCCCCAAGTCCCAGCAGGGTGTGGTGTGGCCGCTTTGGCCGGGGACTCAGGGACAGCCTCCTAGCAAATCAGTCAATATCTGATCTGAGGCCAGCAAGGAGAGGAGCCCTAGCTCACTGTGTGGAGAGCTGGGGGCGAGGAATCGTGTTCCTGGCAGAAGGAAGAGTAAGTCCAAAGGCCCTGAGGTAGTAAGGAGCTTGGCCTATGAGAGGGTCTGTATTCACGAGTAAGGACAGAAAATGGGGGGAATTCAGGCTAGCTCTCAGTCTGCCAGACCCAGGGCTTCTGTGTCTTAGGGATGAGAGAAAGGCATCATTATAGAAACTCTTTCCGTAGTCCTCATAGGTGGGAACCATTACTATACCTTATTTATAGGAGGGTCCAGAGGGGTAAAGTTGTTTGCCCTAGGCCACACAGATAGGAAGTGGATAAATTAAGATTCGAATCTCAGAGTCGTTTTATGACTCTCCCCCAGCTGCTTCTTTGATTAATTCGGTGCACGAGCCATAGTCCTGGTCAGAATCCTTGGAGGTGCTGAGTATTATTTGCTACTGAGGCACGCAGCCGCCTCCTCTGACTGATGTAGTTTATCTAGTACTGATGTAATGAATGCATTTGCCCTTCCCAGTCTCTTCCTAGTCTCCAAAGAGGGAGCCTTAGGCTGGGGCTTGCCAGTCCCAGTTAATCTCTACCCTGAACCCAAGAGAAAACAGGCTTTACAAGGCTCAAAGCCTCCATCAGGGGCTGGAGGGTGTAGGAGACCACCTCCCTCCCCCATTCCGGCTCTACCTTCCACATTTCCCTTTGAGCCAGTGTCCTGTAGTCCCAGCTGAAACTACCCTTCCATTCCAGCCCTAGGGCAACCCCAGCACAAGATCCAACACTCACCATAGAAAAACGGGTCTGTTTCTTCGGGAACTGTGGAAAAGAAGACAGAGAAGAGGGGAAAACATGTTTCAACACTGGCTTTCTGGATATGTTCGAGGACCAAGATGGACCAAGCGCTTCTTTGTATGGTGGATGATACTGCCTCTCAATAGAGCACATAGGATGCTCTCCACACCCATTCACCCATCAGTCAGTGCCATGCCCTGTGCAGTGTACCACCCACCCATTTGTACATGGCAGTCCTGGTCTTAGACCCCTCGGAGTCATTCTGTGAAACACACACACACACACACACACACACACACACACACACACACTGGACCTATCAGAGCCCAGTCTCACAAGAGGACCACCAGATGGACGCATTGGCTTCCCCAAAAGATTCTCTCAACCCTCCCAGTCATCCAAGGGCCCCTGAGGCCACAAGGCTGCCCCATGCAGGGTTCTCCCGTCTGCTTAGGCTGTCACCAAGTCCAGTATGGGCAACCTGTGCTGACTATATTCTCTATCATTTAAGACACCAGCAGTTTGGAGAGTTGGGATCAATCTTGTGGTAACTCTGTGCTCCTTTGTAAATGAATCATCTCCATCATGTGAAACATAAGGCCCTTAGGTTCCTGAGGTTGGGTTCCTCCAACCTCAGAAAGTGCGCGCGCGCACGCGCGCACACACACACACACACACACACACACACACACACACACACTTCTCACCTTTGCCCTAAATCCCTTTTAGCAGGCTAGGAGAGGCAGGCATAGTGGCCCACATCTATACCCCAGCACTTGTAAGAATGAGACAGGATAGAGACATCAAGGACAGCCTGGGCTACAAGGAGACCCTGCCAGGTAGAGGGGGAGCTCAGAACATCCTTCCAGTGTAAGATGTGCGCCCTGGGCAATCATGGTAGCATATGCCTTTAATCCCAGTACTAGGGAGGCAGAGGAAGGTGGATCTCTGAAAGTTTGAGGCCAGTTAGTTCCATACTATCTGAGACTGCATTGTGAGACCTTGTCTTTAAAAATTAAATTAAAAGATGTCCACCCTGTAGCCGGTCGGTGGTGGCGCATGCCTTTAATCCTAGCACTGGGGAGGCAGAGCCAGGCAGATCTCTGTGAGTCCCAGGCCAGCCTGGGCTACAGATTGAGTTCCAGGAAAGGCACAAAGTTACACAGAGAAACCCTGTCTCAAAACAAACAAACAAACAAACAAACAAACAAACAAACAAAGATGTCCACCCTGCTCTGTCAACTCCTCCCTGCAGCTCTCACCACTCTGCCCGGCCTACAGCAGAATTCTGCAGCTTGTGCCACTAGAAAGGGGGGCGGGTGATGGCACTGGTGCTCCCCCTTTCTGGGTTCTCTGGGACTGGGTGGGGTCATGTCTTTCGATCTGACCCATGAATGCTCAAGATGGTGAGTGCTTTAGTTGTCTTTGGGGTGTGGATGCCTCCTGCCTCCATCCACACGTCCCTAAGTTAGCAGTGCGTCCTAGTGGCCTTCCTCCCCTGAGACCTTTGGCACTATTTGCTACCAATACTACTTGGAGCCCAAACTGGCTGATACAGCTGGCTATGAGGCATGACCATAAAAAGCTTTGGTTTATTTGGTGTGTCCTTCCCAGGTCTCTGTCCAGGCTCTAAAGAAATCCTGGTTTTGGTGCTGATGTGTCTTTAACATTTGTCAACTGAATTGTTGTTTGGGGAATGTGACTTAGATTTGCTTCACCCCCCCCCCCCCAGAGGATCTCAATATGCAGTCCAGGCTGCTCTTAAGCTCACATTCCTCCTGTCCCCGCCTCCAGAGTGCTGGCATTACCAGCATGCACCACCGCACCTGCCTCCTGGCTTTTAGGGCAAGAGAGGGGAAAAATACGAATTTCCCATTTGTGGTGGTGATTAAAAAAAATAATAAAGCCCAGTAATGTTTTTTTAAAGAAGTTAATCCTCGGGAGAAAAAAAATCTTAAATAAACAGCAGTAAAAGGAACATTCTAATACGGCAAAACTCAGACGCATACAGCCGGACCCTGTGTCTGAGGGCCATCTGGGCTGCATTTTAGCCTCACCACCAGAGGGTGGGCAAATTGGTCTCTGAAGCTCAGTCTCAAGAAGTTTTCTGGAATGAATGAATGAATGAACGAACGAGTGAATGAATGAGAGGGCCTCCAAGGCTGCAGGTGATTGCATCAAAGACAGGTATTGGCCTGTCTCTCAGTCTCCTGGCTTTCCATACATCCCTTCTCCAGATGACTGCCTGTCCCAGCATCTTGCTGGGCTCCTCCAAAGATCCCCTGCGGGTCCCTGACCACCGCAGTCTCAGTCTTCAGGGTGTGGCTGGGTTAAGGGTGGAGCCAGGAGGCAGGAGAAGCAATGTACACCACTCTTGGCCAGTTGCCAGGGAGAGATCAAGAAGGAGGTGGTTGCTATGGTAACCAGGGCATCTTGCGAGGTGATTGGGGTCCTGGCACTCCAAGCTGGGTGGGGTCCTGTGTAAGGTTTGGGGGATGGGCCAATCTTACCTCCCCTCTTTGCCCCTGCAGACATGGCTTCCGGCCAAACTGTCTTTGCTCCCAAAAATAGGGTCCTAGATCCATACAGGTATGCTCACATCCCCGTTCTGCTCACCCCTGATTCTCCCTCTTATTCTCTGACAAGAACCGCATCTCCCTTCTCTCCCTCAACAATTCATTAATTTGTTTCCATAGGCTGCCTGAGAAGAATGCACCGGAGCTTTTCCTCCCCCGGGGTTTCCCAAGTCCTGCGGTCCCCTGTCAGGCTGTGACAGGGAGAAGGGGATTGGCGAGGCATCTGCCCTCCCATCTCTACCAGTCTGCTGCCATCGATCCTGCTAACCGCCACCTCTGCGAAAAAGAAGCCCTGGGCTCCCGCCAGACCTGCTGGTTCAGCCCTGCCCCCTCTCCCTGGGGTGGCTCCTAGCCTCTGCAGCCCCTCACCCCCCGCCCTGCCTGGGATTCTGCAGCTAGGGCTCTGCACAGCAGCCTCTCCCCCCCCCCCCCCCCACCCCCCCCCCCCCCCCCCCCCCCCCCCCCCCCCCCCCCCCCGCGCGTTTGCTGGGAAAGAGGAAAGGGAAGGTGCCGTGAGAATGGAATTGGGGTTCCCTCCACCGCTAGGGGCTCCGCAGCACCCCAAGTCCTCTGCATTGCCCGCACTCCTGTTCAAGCATCCTACCCCTAGCTCCTCTGCAGAGGACCGGGCAACAGAGGGAGATCAGGAAGCCAGGGAGTCAGAGAGTGTTTAAGAGGGTGCACGCAGATCTGGGTTAATGGGTGCTAAGTGTAAACCTAGTGCGGCTGGATACAGGGGGACGAGATGTGTCTCCGAGATGAAACCATAAGTACATGTGGGCTGGGGAGGGGGGGTCCCCGACATTCCATTCCCACCATGCGGATTCACCGCAGTGCTGCAGCCCCACCCGTCCCCCCTCCCTCCATACTTGTCTATGTTCCTCTATCTCAGTGTCTCTACATCTGAAAATCTGCCTCTCTTCCTTTCTGTCTCAGTATCTCTCTCTCTCTCTCTCTCTCTCTCTCTCCCCATCTCCGAGAGACTGTCACCTGGGTTTTCGTGCCTCTGGCTCTCCTGTTTCCCTTGGTCTCTACCTCTTTCAGGTTTTCTTAGCCCATCTCTTGTCACACCACCACCTCCCTCTTCTCCCTTCAACAGTCCCTCTGGTCCTTTAGCATCTGCCTGTCGGAGTTCAGTAAATACCCACACTACACAAGGCAGTCTTAGGATAACGACCCCTTTAACTGGCCCACCTCAGGGTGCTGAAGTCTTCCAGAACCTCAGTGGCTGCAGATCCATCAGCTCCCACCCTTAAAGCCCCATCTCTTCCCGTTAGCTTCCACCACTGTGCTGGACCAGGCACCCGGTTGCCATAGCAACCTGTCCGAGCATCCTTTCTCTTGGGACTGTCACTCTCTAATCATAGGTCCTGTACAGGGTGCCCAAGAAACCCCAAGGGGTGTCAAGGAATGTGCTCCTGGGCTTCCACCCATGATAGGGGCAGACATTTCCCCTCCCTTTTCCTTCAGTACGGGATCCTCCCCACATCCTGTCCCCTAAGCTCTTAGATCCAGGATCCCCCACCTCCGTGCTAGCACCCATTCCCCAGGCGACGCTCACCGTTTGTGGGGCTCTGGGTTGGGGTGGCCATGCTGAGCCCGAGCAGGGGGCTGCTGAATGCTGAGGCAGCGAAGGCGCGGCTGCAGCAGCTGGAAGCAGGACAGACTGATGTGGGGGGGTAAAGTGGGGGAGCCCTGGTAGGGCGGGGGGCCTGTAGCCAATGGGGGCCCGGGAGAGCCCGCCCCCGTCCAGGCCATCCCCCCGCCCCCGCCCCCGCCCACTGCTGACGTCCCCGCCCCTTCCCCAAGGGTGGGGGCGCCCCCTGCCGGGGCCAAGGGGGCTCCCGGGTTTTCGCGCAAGAGGCAGAGATCAACCAAGCGCTATCAAGAGGGAAAACCGAGTTTTATTGGAGGTCTTAGCAGTAAAAGGGGTGTCCGAGAGGCAGGGCTGAGGCAAGGGACGCTGGAGGTGGCCACGGGAGAGCAGCTGGGTGGGGAGAGGCGTCAGGTGTCAAGGGGGTCCTGTGGGGGTTGAAGGGAGTGAATGGCAAGCAGAGACCCCAAGCTCTCCTCGCCACACTCCCACCACGGCACTGTGCCCCTCTGCCTCCCTCCGTCCCAACTTCAGCCCATCAGCTGCAGGACCTGGCTGAGTCTCCTGGAGACAGGTGGAAGGTCTACCGCCTGCGGGTGGACAGACCTGGGGGGGGGGGACACAAAGAGTTCAGGGGCGGGGCGGGGGCAGGGGTAACTCCCCGCCAAACCCATCGTGCTGTGCGCCCAGGAAGAGGGGTTCTTGGAAACAGCTGCCCCACAAACCCCCGCCGTGTCCACGAACTTACGGCGGATGGAGCTGCGGAAAGTTCCCTCCTCTTCGTCGGGTTCCCCAGTTCTGGGAAGGGACAAACAGAGGAATTCGGATGGACCAGGATGGGCAGCCGCTTCCGAGAAGCCCCAAGTGCAGGCCTTATTTCCCGAACCGCAAGGGGGACTTGGATACGGGAAAGGTCCATCCAAGAAGCGTCCTGTTTCTGTTCTGGGGTGCGGCAGGAGGTGCTCCCAGCCGGTTGGGGAAGGGACTTGACATTGTTGGGGAGAGGGACGGTCACAGGGTCTTGGGAGACGGCCCTGATGGGACTTGGGTCCAGTGAGTGAGCCTAAGTCACCTCACCTCCCCGTGCCACCGTTTCCTCATTTGCAAAACGGAATTGATGGCACCCATCTCATCCAGGTGGGGTGAGGGGTAGAGAACAGGGAAGGAAAGGCGCCTGGCGCGTGGTGCGCACTCACGCACGCTAGAGGGTCGGTATGGAGGCATCTGTGATCGTCTCAGCACGCAGAAGGCATGCCTACGTTGCCTGCGCTTGAAAGGTTTATTTCGAGAGGGATCCTGCGCGAGGATGGGGACTGGAGCTAAACTGGGCCGCCCTGTGAGGTGATCTCATTTCAGCACTGCTGCTCCTGCCCAGCTTCGCCTCACTGTGCTTGAGTTTCCATCTGCGGGGCTGGTGGGAGCCCAGCGCCCCCACTGGCTGGGAGCTGGGCCAGGCAAAGCGGGAGATTGACCATCGCTCGGGGGCCAGCAACTTGGCTTGGGTTTGGCACATGCTCAGCGCTTAATACGCGTTCGACTGCAGGATGGGTGCGCTTGCCGCCTCTCCCCAACTGCCTCTCCACTGCGGGAGGAGCGAGGGAGGCCCAGAGGGAGCACTCACCTCTGCTGTTGGTTGAATTTGCACCGACATCTCTTGCCTGTGGAGTGGGAGGGTATAGGCTGAGCTTTCCTCGTACTCCCTCATCTGCAGGCTCTCCTCCAAACTGGGGAGGCCGCGGGGGTGGGGCGTGGGGCGTGGCTGGAGGAAGGGTAGGGTGTGGGGGCGTGGTCGAATTGGGGGTGTGGCCTCGTGGAAAGGGGTGGGAGTGGGGGCGTGGTTTGAGGTGGGCGTGGTCTTGTGGGGCGAGGCTGGAGTCAGGGTGGGATGTGAGAGATGTGGTTGGAGGCTGAGCCTGTGCTGGGCGTGGGTGGGGCAAGCTGTGTAGGTTGTTGGGAGCTGACTTGGGAGGGAAGGCTGGAGGCGGGGCCGAGAAGGCAGGTGCAGACACTCACTAAGGATGATAAGGATGCCCAGGATGAAGAGGATCCCAGCGATGGTGAGGCCGCCGATCCTCAGGGTGTGGTAATCTGTGGGCAGCCCAGAGGAGAGTGAGCGCAGGGAAGGGGGTTCCCATGGGTAAGAGTATGCAGGGCCAAGGGGAGGGGAGAGCAGATGTGTGAGAGAGAGCAGAGGGCAGGGCAGAGGAAAGAGGGAAGGAGGAGGGGGGTGGGAGGAGAGAAAGGTTGGAGAGGAGGGTGCCACCAAAAGTGGAGGCAGTAGGGGATGGGTGAGACAGGGGGATCCAATAGACAGGCAAAGGAGTCTAAGACACGGAGAGCAGGAGAGAGTGGAGAGAGAGAGAGAGAGAGAGAGAGAGAGAGAG